AAAAATGACCAAGTGTGGTCATAAAGCTGTTATTGCATGGAAAATATGCCACATCCTAAGACAAAATTCTTGCTTTGGTAAAGGTTGAAATAGGTTTTACATCTTGATTCCTCAGAAAGTTACCTTTCCCATTGCTTTGCACTAACTTCAAATAGTAGGCCAAAGTCAGAAGAAAAAAAAAGTCTTGCACCTGTCGGCAATACACATTTAGTACACCCCCAGCCTGCACTTGTATCAGGTTCAAGAGGAACAGTTACTAATTCAAATCGAATTTCTTTCAGAGGCCAAATGCTCATGATCAAATAGATTGTCACAGTAAATGTAAAAACTTAAAAAAGCCTGTAGGATTAATATTAAGTGGTTTATAATACCCCAAAGATCACATAAATTTGATAAATTTCCAATTAGAAGACCTGCGGAGTGTCTTATCTATCTATTGAGAATATTGAGAAAAATCTCCCCAAAACTGGTTCCATCTCGGCTTTCTATCTGTATGCAACAGTTTAAAACATCCTGTCTCTGAAAATCTGCAAACATCCCTCCTTCCTTAACTCATGCATTCACCCCTGAAATTTCATAATAAACTATTCCATCCTTTGAATTGGAAGGGTTCAAATGTTTCTTCAGGTGTGAATGAGTTAAACCAAGACACCTTCAGTTTCATATAGACTATAGTGTTCTTATAAAAGTACTTAAGGTTAAGCGCATCAGCATTTACCTATTCCTATATACAATCTAGCTGAAATCCAGCTCTCAAAATGTTGCCTATTAGGTTGCAGTGTCAGAATCTGGCGACAGTGGCTTTGACAGTTTAATTAAAACATGTACAGATTGTTTGATTGGTTGGGAGAAAATTAAACAAAAATCTCTGTCACCCTCCGAAAATACATTGGTTTAAAGGGGCGCGGTGATATTGCCATGAGACAGTGAAAAATATCACATGCGCAAAAAATGTGCGTGCACCGCTTCGTTTCGCCACCGTGATGGTCACAAGAACGTTTGACGGCAATAGCCAATTTCATCAAGCGCCGGTGCGATAGCGATTGTAAACAGCAGACTATCAACAAACAAGATGGCATTGTCGAGGTTTGCTGCCGTTTCTGAGCTACATTGACTTTTGGTGTAACAAAATAGATATGACATTCATTAGCAGGTGACAGTGAATATTGTCAACCCTCAAAAACCCATTGTCACCCTCCGCTTCGCCTCGGGTGTCAATGTTTTTCTCGGGTTGAAAATATTCACTGTCACCTGCTAATGAATGTCATATTTATATAATATCACATTTATGAATTTAGACCAATTTCATGCACATAAAGTCGGTAAAACAAGAAAATTGTGACTTGTCACCAGTTTCCAGAGATAGTCTGACTGAGCTGCCTGATGACAAGTGCATCAGTGTTCCCATTAAAACTCAAAGCTGGTAGTCAGTAATAACAATCTGCAACATGCTATTTCTTAACTTTGAGCTGGCTATTCTATTTCATCATATGCAGTGTTTTCACCAGGTTTGCTCAGTGTCGGAAGAAGGGGCATTTGTAATAATACAAAGGTAGATTTCCGAAACGTTAGCGGGGCTGGGGTGGGAGGATGGACAATTCCCCTATTCCTACCTACAGCATGTATATATTTTATAGCATGTATACTTTCAATCAGTTATTCTTTTATGAAACCACCTAGTGGAAAAAATGTGCACAGGTTATTCTATGGCATTTATGAGATATATCATGGGTGTACCCGTAATTTCATATCCTTGATTCATGTAATACCTGATTGCAGCACATTCCATTGTTGACTGGGTTAAAGATTGCATGTATGGGACTTTTCTGGTTTGGGTGGAATCACAATTTCCTGTTAAAATGGCTAATGAGTAATGTTAATACTGGTTGTATTAAAAAGGAAATTAAGTGAAATGAAAAAGTTCAATTGAAAAGAAATTTGCATGTATCAAATTCACAATGAGTGTGTTCCATGCGAAGTGTGTGATCAAAGAGGACAAGGTGATCTGGTAGGGTAAGGTTTGGTTTCAACCCCAGGACTCCTCACAGTTCTGATGGTAAATCAAATATTAAGTAAATGATCATAAATACAGATTTTCATAGCTGAATGCATGGGCAAAACATTATCCTAATTATAAAAGACCAGCTGATGGCTAAAATAGGGTGAAATGGTGGGAAAAGTGAAAGTTTTGAATAGAACACATTTCAAGTGAGTTTGTGTTTAAATATGAGCAAATCTGTGTTAATTATCTAGACATGTATACACTTAGTACTAATTAACAGGGATTGGTCCCGAAGACACAGAACTATGGTGTGTCATGGACTTGCTAACATTAAGATAGAGTTATTGACAGGAAGTTTTACAGGATCTCATCTATGTACATTTCCTGAAGTGATGCCTATTTTGGGGAAATAACCGTTTTTGGAGACCCAAACGTTCAGTCATATACATATCTTTAGTTGTTTACTGATCCAAAATAGTTATAATAGAGAAATTTGACACCAGAAATGATATGCTCGAGTTAATTGGGATGTGTTACCACTGAAAAATAGACACTACTTTTGGCCTGTATTACTTTTAGTGTGGTATGTACGACACTCCTTGTAAATAATCAGTTTCGGCTCAGTTAATCTTCACAAAGGTGAAGACATAGTTTTCATAATTACCATGTGTATCGTTCAGTGTTGGTAAATGTGTACGTACGAATGTATTCATGCACAAGAAGTCATTCATATTTTTTTTTTTTAATTTTGATCAGCTCACAGCTTGAGGCCTTGGGACAAATGTCATCTCATATCTTCAAAATATTTAAATCTAACGACTTTCATTGCATAACAATACAGATTAAAAATGATTACAAACCCATACTAAAGACAAGGAAAATAAAACTCAAAACAAAGTTTCACAATCTAACTTTCAAAATTTTATAAAATGACATAATGTTATTAATGAAGCTTGTAAGTGCCTGAACAACCTGGAGTCCTAGCTAGTATAAGTTGTATAGATCTATAGCTGTAGTATAATAGGCTCTCGGGCTTGTGTTAACAACCAATCATGACACAGCACTCAATGACTTCACAATCTACGTAAGGAACTTTGTTATTCAGATTTAAGTATGGTATTGTTGTTGCCTTCAGTTTGAAGCAAAGGACTTGTTTATATGATGAGGGACTATGTCAAAAATTTCTATACTTAATATCTGTGGTCTATGTGTTGTTTTAGTTGTAATTATATTTTATCTTCCGATAATGACAACACAAGAACGATGTCACATTTAGGCATATTTGACGTGAACGACCCTGTGACCAGACTGTTGCTATAAAGTAGGCTTACACTGTATAAACTCTACTAAGAATTGTGTGACTATATCGATAAGAATTGCTGTTGAGCAATGATAATAATATTGATTTTTTCCGACAAACATGATGTTGCAGAGGAGGCAAAGGACAAAAGTATCAAATTAGAAGTTTTTGACATTTAGCTGTGTTTCTGAATGAACCTTCATATTTTTTTAGGAATCCTTTTAGCTTATTTGCACTGACGAAGTCCTTAGAAAGACAAAAATAAACAGGCATATTAAATGTATGGGCTTGTGGCTTGTACTGGCCATGGGCTTATCATTGATAAAATGTACAATTTAGCACGCTTTATGATATTAATTATTGCAATAAAGTCTATATATATTCTTATAATCTTCGCAGGATAAATATATACCATGACAATTTTACCAGAATGATATTACTAATTTATTCTATTAAAGAAGTATGTATTTTATTTATCCTCTGATTAAATCAAAATTGATTAACAAGAGTAAAAAAAAATAAAAAATATATGGAGACCCTAAAAAGGTACAAGGAGAATATAAGACCAGGAGTTCTGTAAGGATAATGAAATGGGTGGGCTTATTACCAGGCATGGGCTTATCTTTCAATACATCGACATACCGGTTTAGGATCTCCATACAACTGCCAAAATATAAAACTATGCATTCAAAACTTATTTTTCCAGTATGACTATAGCATTGATAAATCATTTTTGAAAAGAAAAGTTTAAGGAAAGATAATGGAGATGAAATATACAAAATATATATTCAACAAACGTTTTACGAGTGTGAACAATTCTGTGGGGCTAGAGCGGGATTGGAACGCTGGACTTCAGATTGCTATACCATAGCTGAAACCGATTAAGCTACATGGACAACGGAAGTGTACAAGGCAAAATGTGCTACAGTTGTATTCAAATGGAAGTTGGGGGATGCAGAGGTTACTATATATAGGAAAAAAAGGAAGTGCACTGGTACTGGGATCCTCATGGGACTTTTGTGTTATATAGGAAAAAAATCTATATTTCAAGGGGATGTTCTAGACATGATCTGTCGTTGTGGACATTTTTGTTACATTTTATAAAGAAAATTTTGAAAAAAAATAAAATATTACTTGAAAAAAAGAGGGTATTACATGAGGAACCTATAACCTCATACCACATGTGCAGCACTTTCCTGTTTTATAAGTGTCAAATACAATTGTACTCTGACAGATAGTATTATATAATACACTGGTTTGTATACATGTAGGATTTTACATCTGTGGATAACTTCCTTATAGCTATATATATTGTATCCCCCAAGCTCATGATACAATGGGAAATTATGTTGAAATTTGTTTCACGTGCACTTTTGAGTTTTATTCATGAATACCAAAATATTTCAGTATATATCCTACAGGAGTACAGTGGAAAAATTGCATTAAATTGTTAAAAGTTAAACTGAAGTATTCATAGGCATGTAACAACTAACATTGAAGTCGTTGTACCATGTACAGCTGTTGCATTGTATACATTGGTTAATTTGAACATCCATATATTAATTATCAATGAACAGAGGGTGATGTTCATGTAATAGGAGGAATGCAGGTTAATTAGAGGAGGGGCCTATTACAAAAAATATGGTATATACAGCATTCTGATGTGTCATAATCTGTTACTTTCATTTTCACTTTCAGAAGACCCCAATGTATGTATGAGAGTGATGGGGCATGGATAAGGGGGCGCTAAAAGATGACCACATGTCCAAAGAGACGGGCACATCACCAGTAACAGATCTCCAGGATTATCTGACCAGGATTACCTCCCTTCTCAAACAGGTACAGTTCACAGCACAAGTACAGTATATATCGTACCACACTTATAAAATGTTGGATTCACAATGCAGTAAAACTGAAATTGCGTCATGCTAAAGCCTTAAAGGGTTTGAAAATATCAAAAGAGATATATTTTGGTGACACTTGCAAATGAAGTAAGGAGCACATGTAAAATTTTACTGTACATCCTTTACTTTTGCCTTCACAATTACTGCTTACATGGTTAAGTGAAGTGCAAGTAACCATTGTCTGAACCTATCAGGAGATATATAGACAACAGGGAACTGTCGATCCAGAGGTACATTACTATAACATTGGTGACATGATATTGTTTCAATAAATATGTTGTAACAAAATTTCCGAAGGAAGAAGATAGGAAAGATCACATTTTCAGGTCTTCATCATGCTACAATGCTCTTTTCCAGGTTATCAGGTGTCACAAATTTACCATATTTTTTGTGGTAAGAAAATATTTGTTGCTTTTTAGAAGCAGATACGCTAATTGCAGAAAACTAATGTATAAATTATGGAATTTCCTGTTTGAATTGTCATTGGGAGTTCTAGGTAGTTTCTGGAATATCAAGAGTGTGGATTAATTAAAACTACAGTGTAAAATATGCTGATATGATAACAAACCCCAGGAGACTTACGGAATTTGTTTGCTGTGATAAGGAAGGGATTTGGATAGTCATGAAACATTCCTTATCAAGGACTTAAATTCATTATAAGAATATTCACATAAAACATGCCTTAGTGCAAGTAAAACAAAATGAAGATTACAGCTAAAATGGTTACTCCTTATAAGTCGATCTCTCGTACAACTGGAGGGGAAAGTGTCCATTTGTCCATCCATGTGTCATTTTAAAAAGTTCTTTCACATACAAATGCCAATTTTGAAATCTGGTCTAGTGTCCAACTACATACAGAGATATGGACCTTGTCCACAGTGCATCACTGTGTTTGGGGCATATTTCAAGTACTCTTGTCACTTGCAATTGCCAATTTTTTTTGTGAGTACATGTACTTCGTGGATGGCAGAGAGTTGCATCCTGAAAATATTGTGTCCTGCACCGCTATATATAGAGTTATTACCCTTTGTTGATTTTGATACAAAAGTTTGCCTGGAGGTGGGAGAACATGGATTATTAATACTTTGTCTTGTTATTTCTTCGTTAGTAATTAATGATTTTCTGGATTATCAAAGTCAGGAATTGTTCTATCGATGTGAAACAATTTCTACAAAATGAATGTCCTCTGTGCGTAGTATCTGTACTCAATTTTTGCTAATAGTATTCACATCCAAGGAATGCTATTTTTATCAGTAAAGCAGCCAGATTATAAGTTAACATCACAGCACAGGCTGACTATAAGCACGGATTGTATTACCAATTAATTCTACCAGATATAAGACACGACAGAGGAAGGCTGGGGGCGGATGAAACAATTGCTTTCCTAGCCCAGCTGACTGTCATAACTAATAATAAAGATTTTGGTCGTAAACATCATTTTGATACTTTAGATACATGATTTAACACACACGTGTAAGATACTTGATAATGCCACACTGAAAGCTGAACGTGTCCCTATTTATTTTATATATTTTTACTCAGAAATTAGCTCATTTGAGATTTGTGGTTTTTATACTGTCAGTAACATTATATGATAAACAAGGATGTGACTTGAAATATACATTCAGGATATCGAGGTTTAGAGCATGAATACATCAATGAAAAAATTTAAGAAATGAAACGAAAATCACTTAAAATGCATTCTACCACGTCTGTGATGTAACGACGGTTTACATTGGTTAAAAAGAGTGCATTATTGAGCGATATACCATGCGCGTGCCAATAACCAATGACAATAACCAATGCACGTGAAATAGTGTGCACGCATGCTGTTCCAACAACCTCCCCGTATTTTATCATGAATTAACAAAAATAGCATAACTGTCAGGCGGGATCAAAATACTTGACAGGCCTGCCATTCAAAAGATTACACGGATCTATAGACCTAAAGTATGTGGGTCCGTGCAGTGAAAATGGTTTATTAATTATTGACATTTAAAATGTACAGGTCTGAAGACAAAATGGTAAATTATTAATTACTTCTGTTTTTACTTCACTGGGTAGTGCCGTACATTTCACCATGTGTGCAGTGTGTGTATGTACTGTCAAGCGTTGATTTCATGTTTTGACGAACGATGTCGATAGCGTGCCAATGTTTGATTGATTGAAATAAACATCGTATCTGACGTCACACGTGTTCAGTTGTTTCTGGTCTGCAAAACGTTGTCTGCTTTCAAAAAATCAAAGTGATGTCGAGCATTCGCCTACAGTGTACATACCGTGTGTGAAGAATATTGTTGCAAAAAGTAGCATTGGTCTGAACAGTGGTTGCAAAACACAGCTGTCCGGTGAATTCGGTGAAGGTGAAGATCGCATCATGATCAGCTGGTCAGCGACTTTCCATCACGTCATGGCAACCAACTAAATTTGCAAACTCATGTCAGGCCTATCGTCTGATGTTGTATCACTGGCACTTCCAAGAAAATCCGCTTGATAACGGTACGATGATGATGGTTTAGAAGTAAACGCAATCCGGGAATCCAAACCCTACGCACTGAGAAATGTTGGCACAACATTGATCAAGTTGAAACGAGGCAACACGATAACGTGATAAATCTTGCACGCGCAAAAGAACAGTGTCTAATTTGCATATCGAATTATCTAGGTCATGTTGCCTTATAAGACAGAAAAACTTTCCAATTAGTTACATTTGACGTGGTAGAATAAAAATAATCAACATGTGTGCGTGCATTATGGTGGAATATATAACTTGGGTTTCGAAAATGTTGGAAAAATAATTAACTCAGGCCGAAGCGGCCTTTGTTAATTTTTTTTACCAACATTTTCTCACCCTCGTTATATATTCCGCCATAATGCACGCACACATGTTGATTTTTTCTTAAATATAGCGCTACACAGTAGGTACATAATCAAGGAACGGCAAAGGAAATGCACTGTATCTATCCAGCAATAAGCCCACCAATATATATTGCAGTTAGGAAGAAATACCTACAAAAGCTTTTTCATTGACCTATAATAAGCCCATCCACCTACTTTCAGTCAGAGATTATTTGTTGGCCCCGTGGGCTTATTGCAGGATAAATATGGTACATCTTTAGTATGATAGCCTTCCCATGCAAAGATACCAAAGTATATGGGAGGCTTATCCAAGACCTCCAAAACCCAAGCATCTCCCTGAAATCATAACTTGTGTTGGAGGAATAAAATATTTGAAATTGAAAAAAAATATTAAAAAAAAATGAAAGAATCAATAACAGCAGGATTATGCTTGATACAAGACGTTATTATGGAAGGATTTTAATTTATGTTAGTAACATTCAGATGTACATTAGTGCATATTTATTTTGTAACTGGAGATGCTAACAGCAGTTTGACGTTTACCTTTTTAACCCTCTGTCAAAAGTGATGAGATACAATGCTTCATGACAGTGAATATGTATTTACCTATTACTACGCATACATAGTTTATTTCCTCTGTAAATATTTGGTGACAGACTAAAAAGTCCAACAACTTATAATGATATGTATGAATAGCGTAGCTTTAAACGGAAAATAACTTTTTAACACCTAATACAGTAGAAAAGTGGTTATTCTCTCTACCTTAAAACACTATTCATTCTTCGATCGCGCGCTCATTCGCTTAAAAAACACCACCCAGCTATTCGCTTATACCTGTATTATTATAATTCAAGCTTATTTAAGGGATTACTTTTCCTTTGCGGTATCCACATTTGATGTTTACTACTGGAACCCTTTGTACATTGTAGTTTGGACTCTGTATTCACGTGGTTTAGGTGCTGCCACTTTTACTACTATTACCTACTACTTTTATTTCATGTGATATATATCGCGTAAACAATTAGTTATACACACGATCTTAAAGTCCTTGAGTTCATTTCAACAAAGTTTGTTGACTAAGATGTCAGTGAAAGTCAAATAGATTGAGGCAAGTCGGTATGCATACATTCCACAAAATATCATTGACAGACTATGCAAAGTGAACATGTTTGTTTAACTATTCAAATCAGAGCTAAACAGAAAGGTATTCTGTGTTGTTACACCTAGAACAATGATAACTCATTACATTTCCTTATATTATTGATTATATTATATCATATTGTTTCAACCCAGACGTGAAAGTAATCACTTGATGGCCGGAAGCCTTGAAAAAGTTGGTGATAATGAACTCTATTGTTTTAACAAAAAAGTACGGAACATTAATTCACAAATTAAATGTATATAAGTATAAGTATACTAGTAGTTTACTGGTACAGTTATCAGTTTGCATTGTGGGTATATAGTGTATCACTGTTAATGTACACATTATAGCAGTAATCTTAGGTGGGAGACTCCTGATTCTGGCCCCTTAAATGTAGTATATTTCAACCAGTGAATTTGCTAAACTATTCCTATATTCTAAGATCCAAATGGTTTAATCTGAAAGAACAACTCGAAATATGTCATTTTAAAGACTTATTTTGTCTTTAGGGGTATATACACACATTGTATTTATGTTTTAATTTTGAGCATGTAGAATGATTTTACTTTTGTGTTTTTAATGCAAAATCTGTAAACTGTTTCTATAACATAGTGGCCCATAGGTGAACCAATATATTGATGGTCAATTTTGTACAAAAATAATTGATAGTCATAGATTCAATCACAACAGGCAATTGTGATTGTGATAATCAAAATGATTGATTATACAATGAAATTTGTGTTGGTTAATTTTGCCATAGATAGGACACCAGACAGTAACTTATGATGTTAATTAAGAAGAAGAGTTCTTACTTGTCTATCTAACATAACGAGTAGACTTAAGCACATACAGATGGAGAAATATGTTCCTTAGAAAAACATGATACAAAACAGAATTGTGACATTAAACAATTCATGTCAATTAACATCAGATACTCTGTACAGGACAAATTACAGTCATATTAGATAGGATGTATGATGTACACATGATAGACTGTAAGACCTGTTGAAAGATATGAAACAAATTAGATTGAATATGAATTATAAGAAGAAAAATCTGAATGTTATTTTGGAAAAAGTGGAATTATAAGTTGTGTTTCAGTACAGGAAAGCATGATATCAACAACAAAAATGAAATTGAAAGGAACATTGATTTATATTGCATAAAATATATGGGCACAGTCAACAAAGAATACTTCTGAAATTTCTTATTCAAAAGTCATGGACCTGCAAGACATTCCACATAATTATGTTGAGCAAACTATTGACTTTAAGCACCAGCGATATGGATTTGAAAACTCTCATCATGATGATATTGTTGAAAAAATAATGGGGGTGGACTACAGTTTCAGATGAACATATCAATGCTATCCGACACAATTGAACAAACGGTTGAGGGGATAAATCAGAGGCGTGGAGACAGTTGTAGTATAATATATCTGTCGGTAGATCCAATCAATAGGCCATAAATTATTGATGGAAACAACACACCGAGCACGGCAACCGTGGTTTGATAATGATTGGGGAGAACATGGCCTGTATGGATGACAGGTGTCAAAGCTATGGATGCATTACAGGTGGGTGATAATGTGTAGATTATAAGCAACAGGGGTAGGATGTAGGTATCTAGGTGAGAGATGTGCTGGGGAGATTCTTTGGTGAAGTGGCAGAGTGATGAACGTGACATATTCTTTGTAATTGCTTTGTTTTGTTTTGAAACATATTGTCAAAGTTCCTTTGGAGTGACGTATGTATTCTTCATCACAAATTTGATATCAAAATGTTTGGACGAGTTTTCCCCACTTACGCCAGGACTCTCAAACTTGTGGGTTGCAATATTAAAATTCTAGATATCTGCTGTATAGGCTTCACAAAGAACCACTTATTAAGGTACAGTGGCATTCACACCTGTATTGATTGTGAGTTTACTATTCCGTCTTTGCATATTACAGAGTTATCTTCTCTTGTGAGCAGGTATTGATTGTTATGTCATTTGTTTGTGAGAGTAACGTCATCAATTTTTGAGAAAACGACGTAATTTTGTCACACAAACCAATGACGTAACAATCAATCCCTGCTCACAAGAGAAGATAACTCTGCAATACGCAAAGACGGAATACATGACAATAAAAGTGCTGGTTATACTGTGATGTCCGTATATACATGCTTTCGCTTACTACCTCTGTGTCTCCTATTGGATGTGACACAGGCTGATGATATATAACAAAATTGCTATGCTATGGATCAATTTATATTTGTCTTTGTATTATTTTAAAAGTTCATGCAGCCGTGAACAGGGCTGATTTCACAAATATGTCGACTCTTTCCTCGAAAAGTTCGGAATGAGATTCATCCACTTCATCACTAAGGGGCGGAATGTGTAAATATTACCTGTCTTTCTGACTGCCTGCAGTATTACATATAGTGCTATTGGAACGAAATAGTCTCGATATTTTCTGACTGCTGATTTGACTGACTTCCATTGGTGCATTATGGCTTAGTTAGTTGATTTCAGCGGTTTATAGTAGAGACACTGGTCCTTTAATTTTCACTCACTAAATAATTTATCAATTACTGTATCCAGTCTGTTGGTATACAAAACAAACCTAGCATTTATTTATTATTCCTGGTACACCTTTCATCATACAATATTTACAACAATCACTCATAGGGGGGGGATGACGTGGTGGTCGAGTGGTTAAGGCAAAATAAAGGCATCTGACTGTCTATGATCACTTGCCCTCCACCACTGGGTCATTGGTTCGAGGACTACAAGAGACAGTTGCCATGTACTGGTCACTGGTTTTCTCCGGGCTCTCCGTCTTTCCTTCACCACCATAACCTGGCAAATTCTTAAATGACCGTAGCTGTTAACGGGACGTAAAGCACAAACAAACCAAACCAAGCACTCATAGATCAATTTGTGTTTAAATAACATCTTTTTTTCCCTGCTTTCAGGAACCTCACATTTTACAATAATTTTATGGTTCCACCTCTTTTCTACTGTAAAAACAAGGCTTTTATGTTATTTCCTGTTAAATATGTGGTATTTCTTCTGTGTGTATAAAAACACAAGTCACAAATCAAGGTTGTGGACTTTTTTAGGGAGTTGAAACATTTGGAAATTATTCTCAGTAATGCTGCAGACAAGTTCAAACATGATATCCTGATTGGCAACACAATGGATAAATCCTTGGTTTATCAATCAATAGCACTTGAGAAGTCCCCTGACATAAATGCTTTTATGAGAAAGAAAATTATAAAAAAAATTGGCTGAGCTGAATTTATCTCATTAATGTAACAGGATGTTTTTGTTGAGAATTTAGTTCCATGATATTTTTTTCAGATTTCAAGGGATTGACTATCATTGAGTATCTTAAATTATCAAAATTTTCTTTTCTTTGCAGAGAAACTTTCATGAAGCATTAGACATATGTGACACTGGTAAGGACATTTTAATCATTGGACACTGCATGTTAATTTGATCAATTTAACAGCTAGATTTTATTCGAAAATATTGTACAGTTGTCAAACACCAACTCCAGGTATTGGATACAAATATCACCAGTGAAAATGTTTTATGTGCAGTACTTTTCTATTAATTTTGCTTTCCCTATGTTTTTAGGTCACCTGAGCTTTGCTCAAGTGACCTATTCTAATCACTTTTCGTCCGTCGTCGTCCGTCGTGCGTCGTGCGTAAACTTTTACATTTTCAACTTCTTCTCAAGAACCAGTGGATGGATTTTTTTCAAACTTGGTCAGAATCATCCTTGGTAGATGAGGCTTCAAAATTGTAAAATTGGGATTCCTACCCCAACCCCTGGGGCCAGGGCGGGGCCCCAAAGGGAACATTTACCAATATTTTCAAATTCTTATCCATTGATGACATGACAAGTATTGTATTTCACTTAGTTTACATGCTGATTTCCGCATCACATCTAAACAATAAAATAAAGCTACCAGTACCTATGATATAACTCAGGTGACCGCTAAGACCCTTGGGCCTCTTGTTTTGTATATGATCTTAAAGATAGAAATACAGATTTATTTACTATTCTTCTTAAATAATCATATTTTTGTACTTTTAGCCCTAAATGAATATAGAAATGAAGAAAAACTACAAGAAAAGAAAATCAAAATATTGTGCCACCAAGGAAGATTTGAAGAAGCTTACAATATTGCAAAGAAGTGGTCACTAAGAGATCCAAAGGTAAGTGTTAACACAACATTAACAGTTACCAATATACAATAATTACCATATTTATCCAGCGATAAGCCCATGCCTAAAAATAATCTAATATGTGTCAAATAGAGCTCAATAGAAATGCCTACAAATGCTAGTTTATTAGGGCTCTGCATCAGAGATGCAGGTACCCTATGGTAATCACTGTGTCCATCTATCTGTGCATCCACGCTTTACTTTCGGTAACTAATCTTTTTGAAATAAATTAGACATGGTGATACACTGTGATGTGTAGATGTGCACAATAGGGGTTTAACCCTTTCACCTCTATAGACCATACTGGACTTATCCCAATGAATGCATGGTAGAGTCCATTCAAGTTACCTATGGTTGAAAGGGTTAAAAAGATTTTAAGATGGATGTCACTGTTACTAAAATAGACCATTTGGGGTTTGGTAAGGCACATTGCAGGGCCCTGGCTGACCTGTCAATGTTCCAGTTGTTCTGTCCAAATCTAACACCTACTTTGAGCTAGAGTTGTGTCTGTCCCTGCAGGATAAAGACTTGTCTTTTTATACCTAGGCTAACAGTGACAGGAAGTTTTAACTGTAAATTTACAATAAGGGAAATCTCTAGTAAAGACTTATCTCCCTAGGTGTTTATCAAAGGTAAAATGTCATAAATAAGTGCAGAGTATTTTTTCTTCTTTATTAAACAGAACTTCACAGCACAGAAGGAACTAAAGAGACTGAAGATTGTTATACATGCATTAAATGACCAGGTATGTTTGGTTGACCAGATTTTGTTTTTCATAGATATTAGGAAACTGTGTCAAACTTAAATAATTAAGAAAAATCTGTATTTCAGCATTCTTTTTTATAAAAGAAAAATGTGCCTTATTATACAACAGAAAGTGAAACTCAGAAATCTCAATGTTAGATTACCTGTTACTTTATGAATTACTTGCAGATTGAAAATAAGAATGTTTCCTTTTGTTCAGAAAATATCATCGGTCAATTAATAAAAAGAAATTTATACAGACAAGCAAATTAGGCAAATTAAATTCATACTACTTGATACAACATCAATATTTTATAAAAAAAAAATCCATGCTTTAAAAAAAATTGTATTCAGTTTATCATGAAGTTAAATGTTATTATCTCTACTGAAGGATGAGGACAGTGAAGAGGAGGAATCAGAATCCATAATAGAGGAGGTTGATGAGACGAAAGAGGAAACAGAAGATGACGACAAAAGGTCATCTCCTGAGGGAATGGAAACTGAGAACAGTCATAACTCTATCACGCAGACCCAACCTGATAATCACTCTGTCATCACCCCACAAACCTACAGCCCGCAGACTGTAGAATCAGGTATGTACCCTTCCCCACCCTCACAGATACAGGGGGTCAACAAGGGAATGGAAACTGAGAACAGTCATAACTCTCTCACGCAGACCCAACCTGATAATCACTCTGTCATCACCCCACAAACCTACAGCCCGCAGACTGTAGAATCAGGTATGTACCCTTCCCCACCCTCACAGATACAGGGGGTCAACAAGGGAATGGAAACTGAGAACAGTCATAACTCTCTCACGCAGACCCAACCTGATAATCACTCTGTCATCACCCCACAAACCTACAGCCCACAGACTGTAGAATCAGGTATGTACCCTTCCCCACCCTCACAGATACAGGGGGTCAACAAGGGAATGGAAACTGAGAACAGTCATAACTCTCTCACGCAGACCCAACCTGATAATCACTCTGTCATCACCCCACAAACCTACAGCCCACAGACTGTAGAATCAGGTATGTACCCTTCCCCACCCTCACAGATACAGGGGGTCAACAAGGGAATGGAAACTGAGAACAGTCATAACTCTCTCACGCAGACCCAACCTGATAATCACTCTGTCATCACCCCACAAACCTACAGCCCGCAGACTGTAGAATCAGGTATGTACCCTTCCCCACCCTCACAGATACAGGGGGTCAACAAGATGTACTCTCTTGAGGGAATGGAAACTAAGCACAGTCATAACTCTATCATGCAAGCCCAATCTGATAATCACTTTTGCATCACCCCACAAACCTACAACCTACAGAGTGTAGACTCAGGCATGTACCCTCCCCACCCTCGCAAATACAGGGGGACAACAAGATGTCACCTCCTGATGGAATTGAAACTAGGAACTCTCAGGTCCTTCTTGGTAATTGTTCCATTGAATTTAGTCATTAAAGAAATTTAAGAACTTTTTCTGGTAAATGTTTGGGTCAATATAGGTTTCAAATAGACATGAGTAGAGGCTCATTTTAAGGAGTCAAAATATGCTTTCAGGAGGTCTAAAGCAAGCGCTGAGTGGAGTTATGTTCTATATATAAATATTTTTATAACATGGTGTTAACTGTGCTGAAAATCATGATATTTACCAATAAAGATACAAGAAGTTAACAATACAAACCAATGCTAAACAATACTGACTCATGTTTACCTATAAATAATGATACTGATTTTTGTTTTCCAGTGCTGACTAAAGCTATTCAGTACTGACCAAAATTGACCAGTGCTTTGTTGTCGTGCAACTCATTGAGAAGATATAAAACCCCAATCAATCAGACTACAGTTGCTGGTCAATGCCTTCCATTGTTGACCAATAGTGACCCTTAAAAGACTGACCAGCTGTCTATTTAATTTTCACAGATAAACGGAAACATGTCTGTACCTTCTGTAACATCCGTTTTGACCAACAAGAAGAACTGGACACACACTGTAAGAGTGACTTACACAGAAAAAAGATCACAGCCGACGATGACCAGAACTGGAAGTACAGGGAGCCACCTCGAGGATTTGGTGCTGAAGATTATTCTCTGTGTAAAAGGTTTGTATCACTTAGCTTTGTCAAGAACTGGCACTTGTCCTCTGCTTTATCAAGAGTAGGAAATACTGTTTTCAGTTTGTTGATCTTTCTTGCATGCCCTTTGGACAGTTTCTTTGATTTCTATAAAAAATCATTATTTGATCGTTCAATGTCAATTCCGTCTTTGCGTATTGCAGAGTTATCTTCTCTTGGGAGCAGGTATTGATTGTTACGTCATTGATTTGTGTGAGAAAATTACGTCGTTTTCTCAAAAATTGATGACGTTACTCTCACAAACAAGTGACGTAACAATCAATACCTGCTCCCAAGAGAAGATAACTCTGCAATACGCAAAGACGGAATATGCAGGCCAAAATCAAAGATAAATGAAATCCATGTTTAATTACAGCTTCTCTCTAAGTTCTGCTTTGATTAGATGTAACGTTGTTTGATGAAAATCTGCAATTTAACTTCATTTCTAATCTGTAACCAAAGAAAAATCCTTGAAATTTCTTGCTTGTGTTTTGTTTATCATGATAATGCATATCATGATAAACAAAACACAATCAAGAAAATTCTGCATCTTAATGAAATAGAACGTGTTTGTCATATAAGGCAAAAAAAAAAAGAGAATTTATAAGGCAAAAAAAAAGAGAATTTGGTAAAAAGAAATAGTATCTTTTCTGAGATTATAATTTCTTTGTGCCAACCTTTTGAAAAACATCAATAAATAAACCATGATTTAAATAAATCAACATGCTAGATACAATCTTGTGATTGAATGTTATAACATCATTCTTAGACCACTCTCAGAAGCATCATACTGTAATATAAATGTTGGCAATAATGAACTAATTTCTTGAGGCCTATGAAGTTCAATATAAACTAAACTAATTTATTGTATGTAGAATGCATCATTTTCACATTAATGTTTTCAGTACGGAGGAGATCGGGAAGTGTGCCTTCAGTGACAAATGTACCGAGGCTCACTCTAAAGAAGAACTTGCCGAGTGGCAGATGCGTTTTAAATTTCGAAAACAACTTATCAAAGTGGCACATGATAAACAACTGCATGGCAACACTTACGCTGAACAGCTGATAGAGAAACTCATGAATTCAGATAACCCCAAATCTCTCGTAAGTCATGTGATATGTTTGATTTCTCTCGTAAGTCATGTGATATGTTTGATACCTCTCGTAAGTCATGTGATATGTTTGCTTTAGACAAGTTTAAAAGTGATTGACTTCTGCATTGGTAGTTTTTACTTGTTCAACTCCTTGAATTTGTATAATTGAATTCTGGTTCGACTCCCTGCATTGGAATCTTGATTAGGTGTGCTGGTTATACTTCATGTATTAGAATTACAGTGTGCGATGTAGTCAGTACAGCTTTCAGATCCTCTTTGATTATAACACCAATGACTAAAACACTTCATTATAAAAAAAGGAAACATTTTTCAAAGATACAGCATATCAATTTTAATATTCATTTGCTGGTTGTTCAGAATATGAATCTGAAGACTGAATATAAAATGCATGTGTAACACTTTCTATTCTACAGATGGTGTCTAATGTGGACTACTCCAAAGTACATGTGAATTCTGACCTCAAAGTTAACATGACCTCAAAGAAATGTACAAGTGCCTGGACTTTCACCATAACTAGCAAGGTAATGACCATAACTAGTCACCATAGCTACCAAGGTAATCATTGTAGCTAGCTTGGTAATCACAATAGCAACCAAGATAATCATTGCAGCTAGCACGGTAGTTATCATAGCTACTAAGGTAATCATTGCAGCTAGCACGGTAATTATCATAGCAACCAAGGTAATCATTGTAGCTACCAAGGTAATCATTGTAGCTAGCTAGGTAATCACAATAGCAACCAAGGTAATCACAATAGCAACCAAGGTAACCATTGCAGTTAGCAAGGTAGTTATAATAGCTACTAAGGTAATCATTGCATTAAGGCAGGCATTGAAATAAGCAAGGTAATCACCATAGCGACAAAGGTAATCATTGCAGCTAGCTAGGTAATCACAATAGCAACCAAGGTAATCATTGCAGCTAGCAAGGTAGTTATAATAGCTACTACGGTAATCATTGCACCAAGGCAAGCATTGCAGTAAGCTAGGTAATCACCATAGCGACAAAGGTAATCATTGCAGCTAGCTAGGTAATCACAATAGCAACCAAGGTAATCATTGCAGCTAGCACGGTAGTTATAATAGCTACTACGGTAATCATTGCACCTAGGCAAGCATTGCAGTAAGCTAGGTAATCACCATAGCAACAAAGGTAATAATTGCTGCTAGCTAGGTAATCATATCTAGCAAGGTAATCACTATAGCTACTAATGTACTCATTGCACTTAACTATGTTATCAACATAGCTACCAAGGTAATCATTGCAGCAAGGCAAGCATTGCAGTAAGCTAGGTCATCACCATAGCTACCAAGGTAATCATTGCAGCTAGCAAGGTTATCACCATAGTTACGAAGGTAATTGCCACAGCAAGCCAGGTAGGCACCCTGTCTCCAGCTCACATGTACACATATATTACACACATTGGCACATCCTTAAATGATCTTAGCTGTTAGTCAATAAGACAACCTAATAAAATCAAACCACTGGTGAGATAATCACTATAACTAACTTGGAAATCACCATTTCTAGCAAGGTAACTAATTATCAGTGGTACCAATTTAATCATCACAGCAAGCAAGGTCATTAGCACCATAGCTAGCGAGGTAATCATCATAGCTAGCTAAGGTCATTAGCACCATAGCTAGCGAGGTAATCATCATAGCTAGCAAAGCAATGAGATGAGATACATTGTGCTTATGGACTAGAACATATAACTTATTACTCCTAACAAAGTCATATTTCTGTCCAAATCTAAGAAACTATCTCATGAACATCATGTAATTAAACAAATTTTCCCTATAGCAAACTAATATTTCCTGCTACCTGTGGGTTATTAAACTCATGTTTTACAAACTCTGCTATTTGACTTTATAATTTCCAAACCATTTATAATATCTGAATATCTCTCACTTAAAAAGATAACAAATCAGTTGTTTAATGTTGGACAACAAAATTTCATTAGAATATCTAACCCGACTAAATATTAAACTTTCACTGTTTTCAGAGAAGTCTTCACATAGTGGCTTTACTGGACGATACATACCGAACCTATTTTCATATTGCGAGTATTTCCGTGGGGCCAAAGAAAACTCAGAAGTACCAGAACCTGGAAACGCACTGCCAGGAATGGGTGAACCCGGAGTATCCCAACGTCACGCTAGGGGAATATGTATACAGAGTCAAGGTACCTACCCCAACCTCAGACAAGGGTGTTACAATCCAAGGTCACGCTAGGGGAATATGTATACAGAATCAAGGTACCTACCCCAACCTCGAGCAAAGGTGTTACAATCTAAGGTCACGCTACGGGAATATGTATACAGAATCAAGGTACCTACCCCAACCTTGGGCAAGGGTGTTACAATCCAAGGTCACGCTAGGGAAATATGTATACAGAATCAAGGTACCTACCCCAACCTCGGGCAAGGGTCTTACAATCCAAGGTCACACTAGGGGAATATGTATACAGAATCAAGGGACCAACCGCAACCTCGGGCAAGGGTCTTACAATCCAAGGTCACACTAGGGGAATATGTATACAGAATCAAGGGACCAACCGCAACCTCGGGCAAGGGTCTTACAATCCAAGGTCACACTAGGGGAATATGTATACAGAATCAAGGTACCTACCGCAACCTCGGGCAAGGGTATTACAATCCAAGGTCACGCTAGGGAAATATGTATACAGAATCAAGGTACCTACCGCAACCTCGGGCAAGGGTCTTACAATCCAAGGTCACACTAGGGGAATATGTATACAGAATCAAGGTACCTCCCCCAACCTCGGGCAAGGGTGTTACAATCCAAGGTCATGCTAGGGGAATATGTAAACAGAATCAAGGTACCTACCCCAACCTCACGCAAGGGTGTTCCAATCCAAGGTCATGCTAGGGGAATATGTATACAGAATCAAGGTACATACCGCAACCTCGGGCAAGGGTCTTACAATCCAAGGTCACACTAGGGGAATATGTATACAGAATCAAGGTACCTCCCCCAACTTCGGGCAAGGGTGTTACAATCCAAGGTCACACTAGGGGAATATGTATACAGAATCAAGGTACCTACCCCAACCTCGAGCAAAGGTGTTACAATCTAAGGTCACGCTACGGGAATATGTATACAGAATCAAGGTACCTACCCCAACCTCGGGCAAGGGGGTTACAATCCAAGGTCACGCTAGGGAAATATGTATACAGAATCAAGGTACCTACCCCAACCTCAGGCAAGGGTGTTACAATCCAAGGTCACGCTCGGGGAATATGTATACAGAATCAAGGTACCTACCGCAACATCGGGCAAGGGTATTACAATCCAAGGTCACGCTAGGGAAATATGTATACAGAATCAAGGTACCTACCCCAACCTCAGGCAAGGGTGTTACAATCCAAGGTCACGCTAGGGAAATATGTATACAGAATCAAGGTACCTACCCCAACCTCGGGCAAGGATGTTACAATCCAAGGTCACGCTAGGGGAATATGTGTACAGAATCAAGGTACCTACCCCAACCTCACGCTAGGGGAATATGTATACAGAGTCAAGGTACCTACCCCAACCTCACACAAGGGTGTTACAATCCAAGTTCACGCTAGGGGAATATGTATACAGAATCAAGGTACCTACCGCAACCTCGGGCAAGGGTATTACAATTCAAGGTCACGCTAGGGAAATATGTATACAGAATCAAGGTACCAACCGCAACCTCGGGCAAGGGTCTTACAATCCAAGGTAGAGGTCACTACTGTATAACTAGGATTTATGATTAGAAATATTTTGTTGTTGCTCTTTTGAATTTGTTTCTCTTCTGATTCAGATTAAACATCAGACTGATATACCCGGTATATAAAACTTTATATAAATATCCAGAATACAAATATCTGAAAAGTGTTTCCATTTGATGGTCATAGAACCAAGGTCAAAGCTGCTGATGCTATAAATAGACAGAGAAGGAACTAATTCAATTCACATGTATAGTGTATTATTTTGATAGAAAATATTTGTCAAGTATGCAGAATACTATTACCTCAAATGAGTTTGTGTTTGAAGTTCCTGGTTCCTGAGGGGTGTAAAGACATGTTGACGGGCATTTATGTCTTGACAGATATTGTGTAATAAAAATCTTTACATTCGCAGGTGGTGTTTAAGACTGATATTTACGGAACTTTCCGTCAGACGCTAGTAATGGACTATGGGTTTGATCCTGTACTCAGTCGAGAGCTCCAAGTAGAATCAGCTCCTATCACAGACACAGAGAAGGTGTTCAATGACTTCCTTCAAAGCAATCAGGGCAGATGGAAGAAAAACAACGTTCAGCTGCTGCCATTTGCACTCAAGTAATTTCATCCTAGTTTATTAATCATTTCTATTACCAGAAACACCTGTTTTCAGTTTTATTTATTTTTAATAGCTCTTGTTATTTGATTGAAGTGCTTATTTTCAAAAATATGATTATGATATTTTGCTCTGACCATTCTGCACTGTGAAATTTGAAAATTAAAAATTTGCACAACATGTTTCAAATGTTAAAATTTCACAAGTTTTGCAAATGATACTAGTGTCAGGATAAATCATGACCATATAAGAAATGATTGTGTATGTAATAAGATTGTCCAAGCTAAGTTAAGCAAGCATGCTCACCAGCCTAAATTTTACAGCAGAAGTCAATCGTTTCTTTGTAAAACTATGTCAAAACAAAGAACATAAACAAATACTAAAACTTCCCCAGCCACATAGTGAATCAGACATTGAGAGTTTGTTTTTTAATTTCCTATTGTCAGAAAGCCCTTCTGTCAGTGAGACATCTTGGTTTGGCTTTGTAATTTCCTATTGTCAGTGAGACATCTTGGTTTGGCTTTGATTTAGCTCCATTATTCTAATTCTAAATTCCAACTCATCACTTCATATGTGGATACATGATGAGGAAAAATACAACAATATGTCAAATTAAGATTACTTTACTGTAGACTTTTGGTTAGGTTCCATGTTGATCAAAGTGGGAGTGAGGACTTATATATATGTATGTTTTACAAACATTTTCAAGGTTAATTGTTCACTTTGTAGACCAATACCCAACACAGCCATAGAGGACAAGCTACTGGCCAAATACTCCCTGCCTGATATTGAAAAATTTCGCTTCGAGGACCACCTGATGCATTCACCAACGAAGGAAACATACCGCATCTGGATGCATGAGATGTTGTATGTGGAGGAATGGTCACAGTTGGACAGTATATCTAGGTAAGTCACGTGTAGTCAGTGGACAAGTTTGGTGTAGCCATGAGATTTATAACGGATGATAACATTTAAATAGAGCTGCCATGATACACTTTACCCACGATTAGATACGTATCTCGATATTTGTACCACGATTTGATTATTTCGATTCGATACACCTTTATTTTAGATTATAAACAAAATGATATATATATGACGTTAATACACGGAAACCCGCAGTGTTTACACACTTTTGATTTGAAACTTGTTGGAGCATCACAAATTTTCATTTCCTTACGGCGGTCCGCCATTTTGTTATGAATGCTTTGTGAAAATTGCATCCTCGCAGCCAATTGGTTGAGGGTTTAGAGATCAGCCAATGAAATTGAACGTCTCACAGACGTTTTGGCTGAAGCGGCATACACTAATATTCAGATTGTGACAACTCTACATTTAAAGGGAATTGGTTTTGGTGAAAAATGATATTTTGGCATTTTTATAGGTCTCCATAACCTTTCTTTGAAAACCTATTGCTATCATCAGTTATCAATGAAAACCTTTGCTATTGTGGTGCTATAACCCTTGATCATAGTGCGATAACCAACTGTGATTATCTTATCTACCTAACAACCTCTTGTACCATTAATCATCCCAATATGAAATACGTTTGATGCCAATGAGAATCTTCTAATATTACCAGCAGTACTTCATTATTACATTTAGACATTACAGGATCCTGTCAGCTTGTATATATATTTACTATTATAATTATGCAGAAAACTATTGATTGCATATTAACAAAATACAAAATTCACTTTACAGTCTTTCATAGTCCTACATTATAATAGTTAAGCAAAAAAGTAACCATATGATTAAGCATGAAGTATGAAGATATGTTTTAAGTTGTAGAACTCTCTGAACAACTTTTATTTTCATCATGGAAAGATATTACATTTATAAGGGTGATTATTCTCTTCACTAGTAAAACTGTGTTAAATTATGTTTAACAGGTACAGCCTGAACACATCCCTTCAGTTGGTGAACCGTTTCCTCCTGGTCCCGGGAATGATATCAGGTGCCAAGTACGCCCAGGATGGAGAGCTTTTCGCTCGCATGGCCCTAGAGGACAGGTTGTCAGAGGACTATGCTGGAGGTCGCCTCATCCTCAACTCCACACTCGCCTGGCTTGCACCACAGGATCAGAAGAAGAAAGAGGCCTCTACCAATCTACCTAAGGTGGGTCTATGTGATAGTCACAGATGTTTCTTGAAGAGCTGTGTGTTTGATAGTGTAATCTGAATTTTTCAGCTCATCTGGCTCAAAGGGCCAAGTGTGCTAAGACCATGGTGCAGGGTTTCTTGTGTGTCCAGTTTAATCTTTTTCTTTGAATCAGTAAACTTCCACAACAGCCAAAGCGAGTTTTGGACTAAACAATGGCCTAGGTAATTCCCCTAAGCAAAAAAATAAGAAATTAAATGTTTCTAAAGTATACGATGTGGCTTCTCCGGGTGTGAAGAGCCAGGGTCATAAAAGGGAAATTGGGGTTACTTTCAAGATAACACATTCAGTATGGTATTTTGTCCTTTCCTTGTGTTATATGAAGCATCCCTGAGCCAAGAAAACTCAGTTTAGTGGTATTGAAGGATGACTGTTTTTTGTCAATTTTTACTTGTACTGTGAATTTTTGTGTTGTTAAAGGGGCATCACGGTGAAGTAACTTTATTTTTTGTCTTATTTTCAAATACTACATAAACATATCAAGTGAGACTCCTTATGGAAAATAACGATCGAATTTGGCTGAAATAGATTCATAAAAATGATTAAATCTAAGAAAATCATCGGTATTTTTACCTGTCTGACCAACGTTTTGTTCAGGGATTTCCCTCTACTAGCGCATGCGCATANATTTATGTTTAAAGCTAAATAAATTTAAATTCTGAATATTGGCAAGTGTGCAATTAACTTCTAATGATGAATAATTACTGTTCAATAAGTTTGAATACGGACTTAGAAATCATATAACTTGGTTTCATAGTGCGGTAAGAAGTTGCAGTTGCCTGACGGCCCCTCTCTGGGGGCCTCTTTGGAAACCGTTTCATCTCGCTCGCACCACTTGTGTTTACTGCCTAGTCAGGTGACGTTATCGGCGCTATTTTTAGCAGGGCTTTCCCGAACAATTCAAGTGGTCAAACTGGACATTTGGAACGGACTATGAATATGTGGATAGCGTGGTAACATATGTGGAAGTGCATACAATGCATACATTCATTAAAAAAAAAAACGCCTTTTCACGTGATGTCCCTTTAAAAAAAGTGAAAAAAATACTCTGAAGAAACAACACAAAAGTTGATTATAGACTAATTTGATACTAAAAACAGTTACTGCGTAATGTTAATGTTCATAACAGAAATAGGTAATGGATATTAACAAACATTTTTCTCCTCATCAAGTTCAATGCCAATACCCATTGATAATTTACAAAAGTTAGGTATTTAATCTGTGAGATATGGAGTTATTTTCTCGATAACAAATTATCTGACTACATGTGCAATGAAGTTTGTATACACTTGTTATTTGCTACCTCTTTCTGTTTCACACATGGTCCAGGTTTATGAAGCAGTCATAGAGGATAAGGGTAAAAACTTCATCTTTCTCCGCCTGTCAAAGGAATGTGTAGATGAACTCCACCTTTCATGTGACCAGGAATTTTCTGTACAGGTAAGGGGAGATAACTCAACACACCAGAAGTCAATATAGAGTTCTATCTTGCTTTAAGCAAATCGGTTTTACCGGGTAATTACATTTTTGTGGAAATTGTGTTTCATATTTAATATTCATATAATTAAACAAGGTTTTTTTTGTGTAAATTCTTATTTTTTGGGAGCAGATTAAAGATTCAGAGGTAATAAAAGCTCTTCCAAAAAATTGATCAGGGAATATTTCTTATCAGAACATCTTTTTGTAATAGGTTAATTTAATAATATACAAGCAAATTTATTTTGAAATATAACATTCACACATTTTACGTGGATGCTTGAACCTGAATGTTTTTAGGTCACCTGAGACAAAGTCTCAAGTGACCTATTGCGATCGCCTTTTGTCCGTCGTTGTCCGTCGTCTGTCATCCGTCGTGCGTCCGTAGACAATTTACATTTTCGACTTCTTCTCCAAAACCCCTGAACCAATTTCAATGAAATTATGCAGGGACCTTCCATGGACAAAGATCAACAAAAATAGTTACCGGTTTAGTCCTACGCCCCCAGGGGCCTGAGGGGCGGGGCCAAAAAGGGT